CTTCTCATTTTTGTTACCCAGACATAGAACTCCGCACTTATCCTTGCTGAACTGCACCTTGTTCACATCCACCCACTTTTCCAATATCTTCAGATCTTGTTCACTTCTATCTGCATCTTTTGGGGTGTTCAAATGGGTATTTGTATAGGCTTTTACAACGTTCAAACTTATGGTTTTATTGTCTTACTGGGTTTTATGCATGGGCTCTTGCCCCTTGTAAGCCGCCCTGAGCTCGCTTGCGGGGAAGGCGGGGTAAAAATGCCTAAATAATTTTTTTTAAAAAAAAATAAAATAAAATAAAAGCATACCACAGAGCCAGTATGGTGCGGTGCTTGAGAGTGTCAGACCAGAATCCGGGAGACCCAGGTTCGAATCCCGACTCCACCGAGGAAATTTGCTGGCTGGCTTCTGGGCCATTCCCAGACTCTCAGCCTAACTTATCTCACAGGGGTGTCGTCCACTGCCTGGTCCTTTTTAAGTGGAGATTCCGGGGACTGAACCTGGGACCCTCTGCATACTAGGGTCTCAGGCAGAGGTCTTTTTGCATACCAGGGTCTCAGGTCAAGGTCTTTCACATCACCTACGGCCTGGTCCTTTTAACTGGGGAGGCCAGGGATTGAACCTGGGACCTTCTGCATATCAGAGTCTCAGGTAAAGGTCTTTCACATCACCTACTGCCTGGTCCTTTTCACTAGGGAGGCCAAGGATTGAACCTGGGACCTTCTGGATACCAGAGTCTCAGGCAGAGGTCTTTCACATCACCTATTGCCTGGGCCTTTTAAAAAACATCACCTACTGCCTGGTCCTTTTAACTAGGGAGACCAGGGATTGAACCAGGGACCTTCTGCATACCAGGGTCTCAGGGAGAGGTCCTTCACACCACCTACTGCCTGGTCCTTTCAACTGGAGCACGTGCTCTAGCCGCTGAGCCACAGCCCCTCCCCAAAGCAGATGAAGCCAAGGTGTGATCTCTCTAGTCCTAGACCAGGGGTCTGCAACCTTTAAGACATAAAGAGCCACTTGGACCCGTTTCCGACGGAAAAAAAAAACCGGGAGCCAGACAACCATTGCGACATTTAAAACAAATATAACACTGCATATATTGTTTCTTACCTTAATGCTATATACAGGATCGTGCCCACTCTTTCTCTCGGTCTCTGGCTCATGCCCCGCTCTTTCTCTCGGTCTCTGGCTCACGCAAGCGCGCTGGGTCGCCGCGTGACGCTGGAGGGCGAAATGAAGGAGACGCCTCACGCTCGCCCGCCCGCGCGCCGCGTGCGAGGACCCTAACCCTCAACGATCGGGGGCCCGGCCAGGCCGCGCGCCTGTCCGCAGCCCCGCGTCCCCCCCCTCCGCCGCCTGTCACAGTCACCTCCCGGAGCTGCAGCAAACATTCCAAAGAGCCGCATGCGGCTCCGGAGCCACGGGTTGCTGACCTATGTCCTAGACCAACACTCTAACCAGTACCCCGCACTGCCTCTCCCTCTGGCTCCTCCCCTTGAAGGGAAGGGCTGCCCCTGCTTCTCCGAAAAAAAGAAACATACCTGCAATGCAGCAAGAGGGACTGAAGAGCTGTAGCTCCGCTCTCCTTCTCTGCCCCCCTTCAAGCGGGACACGCTCCCTTATATGGGGCGGGGGTTTAAACCTCGTCCGCCCGCTCAGATCCGAGCGCCGGCTGCCAGGAGGGACATTATCGCTACTGATATGGCCAGAACAGCTGCTTCTCTTCAGGGAACACCTTGCTCGCTTCTGTCTGATAGCACCGTGGCCGTGGAAAACGCGGCGAAGTCCAAGAGGCTTGAAGGCTACAGGAAAAGCCAGCCGAGATTGTGCAGCGGCCGGGAAGGGCTGTAACAACAAGACGTTCGGCACCTGCCCGAGCTGCACTGGAACATGCAGAGGAGTTGCCGGATTGGTGTCGTGGTTAAGTGCGCGGACTCTAATCTGGGAGAACCAGGTTTGATTCCCCACTCCTCCACTTGCACCTGCTGGATGACCTTGGGCAAGCCGTAGTTCTGATAAGAGCTGTCCTTGAAAAAGAGCCGTTTCTGTCAGAGCTCTCTCAGCCCCACCTCCCTCACAGGGTGTCTGTGGTGGGGAGGGGAAGGGAAAGGGGTTTGTCGGCCGCTCTGAGACTCCTTGGGGTAATGAAGGGCAGGGTATAAATCCAATCTCTTCTTCTTCTTCTTTTACCTCACAGGGTGTCTGTTGTGGGGAGGGGAAGGGAAAGGAGTTTGTAAGCTGCTCTGAGACTTCTTAGGGTAGTGAAGGGCAGGGTATAAATCCAATCTCCTCTTGTTCTTGTTCTTCTTCTTCTTTTCCATTTCTGGCGGTGAGCTTTATGGGGTATCGATCTGCCCCTTTTATGAATCATTGCTGTAATCTGCCTGCAGCACAGCAGATAGGGCAGGCTGCAAATCAAGAAGGGGGGGGGGACTAAAAGCTGGTTTGTTTTCCAGAAATTTAGACTTGAAGGTTCCTTCTAGCACACCTAGAGAGGTACCAAATGTTGACTTTCTCCAGAACAAGGGAGTCTTTTGGCACCTTAACAGCAAACGCATGAACGTTTGAGCGTTAGAGGCCATTCTGTTAGATGAACGCACAGTGGTCTCTGGTTCACAAAAGCATAATGGCAGGTGTCTTTACCTGTCATTATTTGGCCACGGCAAGCTAACACAGCTTCTATACTGGGATTTCTCTCTCCAGGCTGCATATCCGAGATCCAACCTTTTTAGCCACGCATTAAGGACATGAGAAGAGCCCCGCTGGATCAGACCAGTGGTCCATCCAGTCCAGCATCCTGTCTCACACAGTGGCCAAAACAGTTCCTCTGGAGGGCTAACCACAGGCCATGGAGGCCGAGGCCTTTCCCTGATGTTACCTCCTGGCACTGGGATTCAGAGGTTGACCGCCTCTGAACATGGAGCTTCCCTTAAGTCACCATATAGTAGCCACTGATAGAGCCCTTCCCACGAATCTGTCTAATCCCATTTTAAAGCCGTCTATGCCTGTGGCCATCGTTACATCCTCTGGCAGCGAACTCCACATTTTAATCACTCATTATATAAATTATTATTTCCTTTTGTCCGTCCTTAATCTACTGCCCATCAGCCTCATTGGATGCCCTCGGAGTTCTAGCGCTTTGGGAGAAGGAGAAATGAAGGGCCGCACTCTACAATTCCTCTCTGCAAACAGCAGAGGCTGGCGCCAGCTGAAGAATCCACTCTTAGAAGGGAATCAGAGGGCACAATACCCAAACAAGTTAATCACGTGGCAAACCGCCCCTGGGCCGTGCCATTACAGATCATAGGGAAAGGAATCATATGACTGAATACATCTCCATATAGATGCACCTAAGTAGTTATGCAATACAACTGTCTGCATTAACACGCCATGTTTAATATTCGTGCTTTCTTCAGACGTCAGCTTTGTTTCAAACTTCTGCAATCCTAGTCCTATTACGTTGCTTATCAGACATGCCATCCTATGGACTGCATTGATTTACGTTGTGTAATCCACCTTGAGTCTTGGTGAGAAAGGCGGACTATAAATGACATTAAAAATGTGAAAAGAGAAGAATCAAAGCAGCATTCAGCAGTATAAGTGGTATGGTCTAGGAACATTTCATTCTACAGTCCCGCAATCGGCAAACAGCCAGGGGAAGGAGAAAAGGGTTTTCTCACCTAGCCCCGTTCCCAATTTGTGCATTTTATCTGCTAAAATCTTCCTGTGGCAGGTCAATGATTATTATTTAGAAGGAGGAGGAGATTGGATTTATACCCCGCCCTTCACTACCCGAAGGAGTCTCAGAGCGGCTTACAATCTCCTTTCCCTTCCTCTCCCCACAACAGACGCCCTGTGAGATAGGTGGGGCTGAAAGAGCTCTTTCGAGAACTGCTCTTTCGAGAACAGCTCTGAGAGAACTTGTGACTGACCCAAGGTCACACCAGCAGATGCATGAGAAGTCGGAAATCAAACTCGATTCTCCCAGATTAGAGTCCGCTGCTCTTAACCACTACACCCAACTGCACTGCGCTCTTAACCACTGCACCAAATTACAAAATCTGTACCCTGCCTTCCTGCCCTCCCAAGGTCCACCAAGGGGGCTAGTGATTTAAATCAGACATGATAAAATTTGGGATTTTAAAAAATCACACTTTAAAAACCACTAAAACCAAACCCCGCTCCCCAAACACACATCGGTAAAACAAAAAACAGAATTAAAATACGTCCAAAACATAAAAAACAGCAATTCAGACACTGGTAAGGAAGGAGGGATCGGTTGAGGGAATGCCAAAGGAAACAAACAAAAAAAAAACTGGCGGAAGTCAGCAACAGAAGGAGAGAGACCAATCCCCCTTGGGAGGGAGTTCCAGAGCTTTGTGACACCTTCCACCACCCGAAATAGTACACTCCAGGAACTGCTTGACCGTTTGACCGTGCAAGGAATAGCATGTCTAGAGAGTCTCGCGGTCGGCCAAGAACTGGGACAGCGCCTAGATGGGTCTTGGCAGGGCCTTTGGCAGGCAAGCACTATCTCAACAAGTGGTGGTGGGGGGGAGAAAGTTTCTTTGTTGTTTGGCCAAAGCGACAGGGCTTGGCTCCCGACCAGGCCCAAACAAAAACCCACCCGTACCCAGTGACCTGCATTCCCAGCCGGAATAAAGAGAGGCCGGAATAAAGAGAGGCATTTGGGTGCTCAGATTACTGTACAAACAGCGATTAAACGGTCCAGCCGTGCACAAGAAATGTTTTCCCCTTCGTGTGGGCTGCGAAACACAACCATTCCAAACCGTCTCTGAAAAGGGCAGGCGGGTCGAGAGAAGAGCCCTGCGGGGTTTGAGTGTCTCTGAGCGAGAAATGGGTTACGTTTCCCAAAAAAACTGTTTCTTTTAGGGACCCGTTTGTCCGATATACACACGGCAGCCCCAGAGACTCCCAGAAACAAGGAATTTAAGAAGTGGGGCGGGGGGGGGGACTCCAGTAAGTTAATGATCTACCCGCTTGTAATTGAAGCTTCCTCGTTGGCTCCCACCGACTGGTTCCGCAGACGTTATTTACACATCCTCCGACACAAGGGATCCAAAGGCCAGCCAATAAAATGGGAAAGTTAATGCTTGCGTGAAATCTGAAAACATTTCCCTGTATTTCCACCGCCCACGCCACACGCACACGCCTCCCGATGCAAAGATACGGCGACTGGCTAACACGTCAGCGTCGTGCTTTCCTAGGAAGTGGATTGTGAAACGGCCCGAGTCTCTGGAACGAGATGGGAGGGAGATTTATTCTAACCCTCCGGTGGAACAACAAACCCAGCTGGGTTAATAGTCCGAGTTGCGCTGGAAGCCGCCTGCGAGTTATTACACTGAGGGTGGGGCGTGGTGGAACGATAAGACCTGAACTTGCCTTTGAAGTTTGCTTAGACATGCGGAATACAATTAAATGTGGCTCTGAAACCGGACCCGGCTGATGGATAATCCCATGCTGTTTATTATAGAATTGGCTGGGTCGCTTGGCAGAAGCAAAGCCACCTGCCCGTGGTCGCCATTTCAGCTGCGGGTGCTAGAGAAGGAGGGTGGCGAAATGCTTCCAAGGCCCTCCCCCAGAAACTGGCTTTTATTGTACTGCTGACGCAATGGTCATAAACGAACTTGACAAAAATGGCGCCTCGGGATTTGGGGAGTCCTAACCAACCCTCCATGTTCAGAGGCAGCCAACCTATGAACCACAGTACCAGGAAGCAACATTAGAGGAAGGCCTCGGCCTTGATGCCCTGCTGTTTGGACCTCCGGAGTAACTCGTCGGAAACTGAGAGACAGGATGCTGGACTAGGCGGACCACTGGTTTGATCCAGCTTAGCTCTTCTGATGTTCTTACGAAGGTCTCGGCCTGTATGCCCTTGTTAGCTCTCCAGAGGAACTGGTTTGGCCACTTGTGTGAGACAGGAGGCTGGGCTAGATGGACCGTTGGTCTGATCCAGCAGGGCTCATCTGATGTTCTTGCAAAGGCCTCGGCCTCTCTGCCCTGTTGTCGGTCCTCCAGAGGAACTGGTTGGCCACTTGTGTGAGACAGGAGGCTGGGCTAGAGGGACCGCTGGTCTGATCCAGCAGGGCTCATCTGACGTTCTTATGAAGGCCTCGGCCTCTCTGCCCGGTTGTTGGCCCTCCAGAGGAACTGGGTGGCCACTGTGTGAGAGAGGAGGCTGGACTAGATGGGCCACTGGTCTGATCCAGCAGGGCTCATCTGATGTTCTAACGAAGGCCTCAGCCTCTCTGCCATGTTGTTGGCCCTCCGGAGGAACTGGTTGGCCACTGTGTGAGACAGGAGGCTGGACTAGATGGATGGGCCACTGGTCTGATCCAGAAGGGCTCATCTGATGTTTTAATGAAGGCCTCGGCCTCTCTGCCCTGTTGTTGGCCCTCCAGAGGAACTGGCTGGCCACTGTGTGAGACAGGAGGCTGGACTAGATGCTGATCCAGCAGGGCTCTTCTGATGTTCTTCTGATTCTTTGCATTAATAGTTCTGGGGATGGGGAACCATTTGACCCCCTAAAATGGTTAGCGGTACAGGTTGCTACGCCGGACACAAACGCGCTAATGAAAAGGCATCTGGGAAAATACACAATTGCGGGAAGAGCAGGATTTTCTCTCTATACTCTCAGGTCCAGAATTTCACCCTTTTCTTTTGTTTCAAAAACCATAAAGAGATTCATGTTCCGTCTCTTGCTTGGAGGACGCGGATCCAAAGCACTGACCTAGCTTGGCACTCCCTCTAAGTTTAACCAGAAGCCACCGGGACTCCCATCCAAGCCTCTGGCTTTAACAACTCCATTCACACCCACTCGGTTCTTTCCCACGGAACCGGGCCCGCAGCCACAAACGCCGGCTGATTCATACACGGCCTCTCCTCCTTTGTTACCACTGTGCATTTCCTCCCCGCATCTGCCAAGGCTGCAGAACGTCGACTGTTGATGGCTCAGTCTGCAAGGAGCCACCCTATCTATTCAACCGTATACCCAGGAGGCAAAGGATTAACCATTACGGTGTTGTGCACATGTACACAAGCTTCCAACAGCTGGAGAGAAATACAGCCGGGCCGCTTCTGTGACACATGCAGATGTTTCAGAAGTCAGGTGATCTTTCCAATCCAATGACACTTTTAAATCAGCAGAGCTTTGTTAAGTGATGGCTGACTACACGGGAAGCACAAATCCTCAGCAAGAACGCAGGGATGACATCATTCCCGCCCAAGAAACACTCATCCAGAGCTGGAAGGAGATACCATGCTGAACATCCCTGTTTTGTTCTGGCCCTTCTCCAGTTTATCCTTACAACAACCCTGTGAGGTAGGTTAGGCCGAGAGTGTGTGAGTGGCTCAAGTTCACCCAGCGAGCTTCCATGGCATGAGTTGGGATTCAAACCTGAGTCTCCCGCATCTTAGTCCGACACTACACCACGCCGGCTCTCTGGGCAAACAGAATCATAGAATGTTAGAGGGAAGGGACCTTGCAGGTCATCTAGTCCAACCCCCTGCACTCTGCAGGAGCATGGCTGAAAGATAGCCCTGCAACATACCCGAAAGATGGTCGTCCAGCCTCCGCTTGGAAACGTCCAGCGAAGAAGCATCCACCATCCACAATGCCTGGCAAAAGAGCTCCGTTTTCGCGGCCCTGCGGAAGGTCCCGCAGGGCCCTGATCTCATCCGGAAGCTCATTCCAGTAAGCTGGAGCTGCCACAGAAAAGGCCCCGGTCCTGGTCGATACCAGCCTGGCGTCCTCAGGACCAGGGAGGGCCAGACGATTTTGTGACCCCCACACCGCAGTGCTCTCTGGGGAACATACGGGGAAAGGCGGTCCCTCAGGTAGGCAGGTCCCTGACCATAAAGGGCTTTAAAGGTCAAAACCGGAACCTTGAAGCGAATCCGGTATGTTATTGGCATACCGGATTCGCTTCAAGTCTGGAGCAGCAGAAAAGAGCCAGAGTCCGGGAGCACCTTAAAGACTCAACAAAATCAGTGGCAGGGGAGGAGCTTTCGTGAGTCACGGATCACTCCTTCTAGAATCATAGAACGTTAGAGCTGGAAGGGACCTTGCAGGTCATCTAGTCCAACTACCTGCACTCTGCAGGAGCACAGCTGAAAGACAGCTCTACATACCTACAACATACCTGAAAGATGGTCTGGATTCTAAAAGGAGTGAGCCTCCGCTTGGAAACGTCCAGCGAAGGAGCATCCACCACTTCCTGAGGCAGTCTGTTCCACTGCTTAACCACTCTTACAGTCAGGAAGTTTCTCCTGATATTTAGCCGGTAACGACTCCCTTGTAATTTCCGCCCATTAGATCTAGTCTTGCAATCCGGAGCAGGAGAGAATAGACCCGTTCCATCTTCTACAGGACAGCCCTTCAGATATTTGTAGACTGCAATCATGTCCCCTCTAAGCCTTCTCTTTCTCAGGCTAAACAGACCCAACTCTTTCAGCCTTTCCTCATAAGACTCGGATTCCAGCCCTCTCACCATCCCGGTCGCCCCCTTCTGGACACGCTCGAGCTTGTCAACATCCTTCCTAAAATGTGGTGCCCAAAACTGGACATGGTACTCCAGGTGAGGCCTGACCATAGCAGAATAGAGTGGAACGACCACCTCCCGTGATCTGGACATAACGCTTCCGTTAAGGCACCCTAAGATTGCATTAGCTTTCTTCGCAGTCACATTGCACTGCGGGCTCATGTTGAGCTCCATGCAGAAGCCCAACTTGTTATTATTTCCGATGTCTTCTTCCCAAACTGTGCATGCTGACTCTTCTCAGTTTTGAAGGACATCTAAGCACAGATGGTGGTAGAAAAGGGATGTCACAGGTCTAGCCTTTTGTGTGGGTGTTAAATGCCATCGCGTCGCTTCCAACTCAAGGCAACTCTTATGAATCAATCACCTCCAAGACATCCTACGGTTAACAGCCTTGCTCAGATCTTGCATCCTGAGGGTCACGGCTTCTTTGGTTGGGTCCATCCATCTCAGGTTCGGTCCTCCTCTTTTTCTCCTGCCTTCGACTTTCCCCAGCATTATTGTCCTTTCCAGTGATTCCTGCCTTCTCAGAATGTGACCAAAGTACTCTAGCCTCAGTACGGCCATCTTAGCTTCTAGGAAGAGTCCGGGCCTTGATTTTGATTTTTCTTTCTGGTGGTCCACGGTTATCTGTAAAAACTCTCCTCTGACACCGCATTATCCACGTTTGGTGTAGTGGATAAGAGCGCGAACTCTCATCTGGGAGAACCGAGTTTGATTTCCCACTCCTCCACATGCAGCTGCTGGTGCACGGTTATCTGTAAAAACTCTCCTCTGACACCGCATTATCCAAGTTTGGTGTAATGGATAAGAGCGCGGACTCTCATCTGGGAGAACCAAGTTTGATTCCCCACTCCTCCACATGCAGCTGCTGGTGCACGGTTATCTGTAAAAACTCTCCTCTGACACCGCATTATCCAAGTTTGGTGTAACGGATAAGAGCGCGGACTCTCATCTGGGAGAACTGAGTTTGATTCCCCACTCCTCCTCCACATGCAGCTGCTGGTGTGACCTTGAGTCAGTCACAAGTTCTCCCAGAGCTGTTCTCTCAAGGGCCGTTCTCAAGAGAGCTCTCTTAGCCCCACCTCCCTCACAGGGTGTCTGTTGTGGGGAGGGGGAGGGAAAGGAGATTGTACGCCACTCCGAGACTCCTTCGGGTAGTGAAGGGCGGGGTATAAATCCAATCACCACTACCACCACCACCACCTCCTCCTCCTCCTCATACCCGCACATAGTAACTGGGAATACTATGGCATGAATGCAACTTGGATGCTGGTGACACATCCTTACACAAGAGTCTTTGCTTGCTTTTTCATGGCTGCCCTTCCCGGTCCCGATCTTCTAGCGTTCTGCAAAAGAGAGTGAACCTACATTGCTCTGACCTGTATCCAGCGATGCAGGCGCTGCCTCTAGAACTCCTGCCCACCTACGGAATTTGCTCAAAATCTGTATCCTTAGAGTTTGATCCACTTTTGAGAAAACCGTGGATGGGAGGACGGTTTTAGAAAGTGG